TCAAACAAATTTATGATGCTCTGGCCACTGCAGAGGATACTAAACGGTGCCCTATCTGCTGCATCGAGCAGGGTGGATAGGGGTTTGGATGCTACTGCTCAAGCCTTCCCGTCTTCTTATTCCTCCTCTTACGCTTTTTCATCCTTATCGTCCCCTTCCAACTCCACTTATATCCCCCAGTTTTCAATCCCCGGATTCTTGGCCCTCCCTCAACATGCTTTGCTAGGTTTTTACCTTCTAGTTTCAACTCACATGTGAACGCGAAGCGTCATTCCTGCCCTGTCAACAGGCCTATGTTCAACCAAGCAGCTAAGCCCAGTTCATCGGCTTCCATTTGGATCCCACGATCCTCCTTCAGATTGGCATGCCTCAATGTTCGCACATTGCTTCAGATCAGTCAACAGGCAGCACTTGCCCGAACATTAGAGACCCTCTCGATCGATATCTGCTGCTTATCGGAGACCCGTCTGCAAGTCTCGAGCTCTGTGCTCACTCCGTAATCCCCTTCAGGTGACACTAGCAGCACTTTCTCATTGCGTCTATCCGGTGACGATGCAGCTTCGAGTACCGAGCAAGCTGGTGTTGGCATTGCCTTTAGTCTCCGGGTTGGAACTGCTCTGGTTCCCTGGATTCCAATCAATAGCCGGATGTGTGCGGTCGAATGGGCTGACTCGTTCAAAGTTTCGAAGTCGCGTGGACTATCAGGTGCCTATTCGTTATCGCTGCATATGCACCCACAAACTCCAGTGATAAAACCGTAAAAGACTACTTCTATCGTCAACTGAACAAGCTCCTTCGCCACAGAAAGAGCTCAGCCACTGTAGTGCTGGTTGGGGATCTGAACGCTCAAGTTGGAAAACTCTTGATTGATGAACTGCATCTGGGCGGCCAACATGGTGTGGGCTCTCGTAATGATAACGGTGAGCGGTTACTTCATTTGTGTGAGGATGCTCGCTTATTTCTTGCGAGCACTAATTTCCGACCCAGCACCCGCCGGGTGGTGACTTGGCGCCCACCAGTCTCGAACCCGCCTTGGATACAAATCGATCACATTGCGACAAGTTACCGATGGAGCGGCCGCGTCCGGAACTGTCGCTCGATTTGGAGCTCATGTTTAGACACCGACGATGCACTTGTATGTGCTGACTTACTCTTGCGCTTTGGCGGACGCCCATGACGACATTGTGAGCGCATTGATACTAGCCAACTGGCGAAACCAGCTATTCTGTATATCTATCAAAATACGCTGTCACTCGAGGTGGATAAACGCACACAGGATGCAATTGAAGATCACTGGTCTCATTCACCAGACCTTACTACCAGCAGAAAAATCCTCATGTGGTATGTCTAATCGCCAAGATGGACATTGGGTCTCTTCGTAGTCTCTGGAACTTATCGATGCTCGCCGGCATATTCCGGCTGGAAGCGAACACAGTGAAACTCGCAAAGTGCTCCGGGCAAAACTCCGTGCTAGCCTGAAGAAAGACCGCGAATCCTGATGGTTTCTTCGTGCTTCAGAGATGGAAATAGCCGGTGCCCTTGGTAACCGTCGTAAGTTGTTCCGGCTGATACGGGGAACGAGCAGCAGGAGATTTGGTGTTAGTGAAGCTATACGTGCCGAGAGTGGACAGCCCATCCACAACTTGCCAAAACGCTTGAAGCGTTGGGCTGATCACTTTGAAATGCAATTTAATCGGCCTGAATTGTTAGATTTCTCGCTGGCCACTGCCCGTCTCCGTGGGCTGTCTCTTTGGATCAACCCTCTCGCTCAGAAGTCGAACGTGAGATCGGACTGCTGAAGTTACATAAAGCTGCGGTACCAGATGATCTTCCTCCAGCCCTCTTGAAATTCGAGGGACCTGCTCTTGTGAATGATTTACACGAGTTACTATTGAAACTGTGGGAGCAGGAAACTATCCCAACCTACTGGATCCTCTCCGTCATAGTCCCACTTTTTAAGGGAGGCTCACGATCGGATTGCGTCAGTCATAGAGGAATCAGTCTGATCTCCATCGCCTCCAAATTCCTTACCTCTGACATTCTTCACAGACTGACTGACACTCGTAAAAGCCATATTCCTGAAGAGCAAGCCGGTTTTCGCTGAGGTCATAGCTGCATTGACCATATCTTCACTTTGCGTCAGTTGTTGGAGCCAACCGTTGTCATGTTCCACAATATTAAAGGTGCATTCGATTCGGTGGATAGACTTGCACATTGGGACTGTCTACTCAGGAAAGGTGTACCTGAGAAATATATAAATATTCTTCGAGAATTATACGCGCGTGGTTCGGGTAGGGTGGGGGCTTACGTCAAGGTGCCGCCGCCCTTCAATAACTCCAGCGGTGGGAGACAAGCATGCCCGCTGTCACCCTTTCTCTTCAATTTCGCTATTGATGAAGTCATGGAAATTGTGTTTACAGGACACGACTTAGAAGGTGTGGATCTGCTCCCAGGAGAACGACTTCTTGACTTAGAGTATGCTGATGATATTGCCCTTATCTGTGACAGCACACAAACGTGCCAAGCGACACTGGACAGATTAGCGCTGGCTGTCCGTCACTTCGGGCTTTGCTTCGCACCATCGAAGTGCAAAGCGTTCCTGCAAGATTGCTCTGGACCACCTCCTTCGCTGACCCTTGATGGGGATCAGCTAGAAGTCGTTCAAAAATTCAACTAACTGGGAAGTTGTATTAGCGTCCATGGGATTGAAGATGAGATCACTAACCGTATAGCAAAAGCTCGAGGCGCTTTTGCTAACCTTCTCCACTTATGGCGCCGGTGCGACATCACTGTCGCCCTGAAGGGTTGAGTGTACAATGCAGCGGTACGTTCGACCCTGCTGCACGGTTGTGAAACCTGGCCCCTTAGAGCAGCGGACCTGAAGAGGCTTGTTACGTTTGACCACCGGTGCCTTCGCAATTTGGCTCGCCTCTGGTGGGAACACCGCGTGGGCAACGAGCGTGTTCGACGCCTTGTTTCTAGCACAGGAAAAGGAAACAAACCGCTCAGCACTGGTATTTCACGCACCAAACTCCAATGGCTCGGCCACGTGTTGAGCATGCCAGCCCACCGGCTCCAGCGACGTGCGTTGTTTCGGCGCCGTGGGTGTGGATGGAAGAAGAGGAGGGGTGGCCAAGCGATGACTTGGTCTAGAGGGATGAAGGCCCTCACTTCGGAGCTGGCCTCGTTGGGAGCGTCTTGGCTCCCTGGTTGGGGTCCGAAAGATGATGAACACGTTTGGCTGGATACGCTTGCTGATATGGCTTGGAGCCGACCTCAGTGGCGTTCGTGCTGTGTGTTTCTTTGTCCAACCCCTTTCACCACCATCTCACTATTTAGCCTTATATAATTTTGCATAGTAATTTTTTTTATGCACAGTAGCCGTCTGGTAGCTTATCGGAACGATGCCCATCCGTTACCGGTAACTCAGCTGGCTTGCACCAGTTGCATTTTTTCTTCCTTTTTTCTTCTTTTATTGTGGCACAGTAGCTGATGTATTTCCCACCTCTAGCTAACGTGTTTAATGAGGATGATGAGTAGTACTACTTAGCGGACACTTGTCGTCCTCGCTCCCATGACCTTATCCTTCCACTTCGCCCCGTTGGCCGTGCGGTTCATTTCTTGAGCCCCTTTTATCTCTGCAAGTGCATGTTCACATCGCAGTCTTTTGCAATGCACACTCCTATTTTGAATCTTTCATCACGTTTTATGCAGTCTTTGAGTTACCAATCACTGTCCAGGTGTACTGGGGCTAACCTGGTCCACCAGGGACTAGGGGCCTTCATATTGTACTCATGCGCGTTCAAAATGGGAAATATGGCCCTTGGACACCGCAGAGCTTTGCTTTTTTCTGTTTAATGGCAACGTCCAAGCTTCACTGTCCGGTATAGCTAAGGTTACACCTTTAAGACTAGGTCGCGTGGAAGGTACAGGGTGAGAATTGAGAACTTGAATTTGTACGTACTTCGTGCATTCGATGAGTTAATGGTTTGGTTCATTTGTGGACCCCTGTTTGCTGTGGGTGCCTAGTTTTATTCTCTCCATCTTCTGGCATGTCACTGGGGCCTTGTGCATTGTTTACTATTAACGAAATCATTTTGTTGTTCATTTTGACAAAAGATGAAGCTATCAAAATTAATATCCCTACGTCCTCCGTGACACATCTGTAGCTCTATGATCCATGGGCACTGGGTCTTGGCGCTCTTGGAGTTCTCCAATTCATACTGGCCTACCTTCACGCTAACTGATGCTGGTAGTGTTCCACGTCCTCAATTGTTTTTCCATCGTTTTTTGTGCTGTAATTATATTTCGCTGATTCTGTTTTGACATTCTTGATAAATCGATGGGGCGATTTTGTCGACATTATATGGGCTAAGAGAACATTAACTGAGTCCTTTTTGTTTCCTTCCTAAAACTGGATGCATTTCAAAGGGCAACACACCTTCGCCTCTAGCTCAAGGAACTAGCACCGTGCAACAGAATTCGATCTACAAACAAATCTTACTTAGCACAACACCATGCGTAATCCAGCTGGACTGTCAAAGCAAATAACAAGTTTCGGTGCTCCAGTTGGACGTCGTTTTTTTGGTGCGCGGTGAGGAGAAGCCTACTATGTTTTACTGTCTCTCAATCAATCCTGAACCCCAAGCTTACCGATTAATATGACCCGCCTCCGCAGGTCTCCGTCCCGTTTTATGTGCATGCCGGGCAGCTGGATTACTGAATAACGTCCCGTCCTTAGTCACTTGGCTTCCCTTGGATCCAGGCTAGTTGGGGGCCTCTATCAGCATTTTCTCACTGGCAATATTTACCATTCGGCTGACATCTCTTTCCGGTTGATTAGACTTTTTAGCACCCATTCTTCTGTGGATAAAGCAAATCTGTTTTTTATAGTTTGCACATACTTGAAATCTAGCAATTCACTTATGCCTTGCATACATGTCAAAACCGCAACTTTCCCATCTCATTCCATACTTTCTACACATTCTGTCTTCATTTAGGGGTGTCGGATGCATTTTCACCGAAATGATCTCTGGCGTCGCCACTTTCCCAGGGTCAAAAGATTCCGTTGACCAACTGGACAAAATTTTTCGGGTGAGCAATGACTAGATCACAGTGTGCATTATATTAGCAGTGTTCTCCTCCATACCTCTAAGTAAATTACTCTTAGCAAATGTACATTTTCTTTCTCATCTTACTGCCTCCGTCAGGTGCCTAACTCTTGTAATAATTCACCCAGGGCCTCCGTCGCTTTACCCCAACCATCTCTTGCTTCTGCCCATTGATTGCTGCGATCACACTGACAAAATGTTTTCCACCATCCGACGGAGTTTTACATATTTACCACATTTTTCAAAACACCGATTGCTATCTAACCAAACCACTGGTAACTGACCTCGACTGTGAAGCGCGGTCACTCCTGTGTATATGTGTGTCTGATCGTCGGCACCGCTTCATTTAGGGTCTATCGCATTCATTCGTCCCGCCATTTTATTGACTAACTTGTTTCTTACCTGCGTGTCTAGTCTGCTTTAAGCGGCCCACACCGCTTACTTATGCTCTGCCGCTGTCTTGTGTGAGAGGAGACGGAATTGCAAGTTTTAACGTACCTCCCGACCGTGTTACTTCGTTTATTGTATTTCAATTTCATTGGGAAAGGAGATGCGAAGCACAGTATATTGCATTTTTCTTCATGGACACGATTCTGTTTCTGTCCAACTGCTTCACAACTATCATGTGTCTACATTACATTATTGTTGCTTAGTTGTTTCCAAATTTAACCTACTATTTTGAAAGCCATATATTTTGGAAAGTATCTGCACTGCCTTCAGTCTGTGTGCCTGTTAAGCAACACTGTCATCTCCATCGTAAACGGGTTTCGCTATTGCGATGACTTTCCTACTACACATGCTCTTGTTAATCTCGAATACAACTAACGAATAACGGAAATGTCCAGCTATTTCACATATGTAATCGTGTTAGAAGAATTGGCTCGGTTGATTGTCTGGTCGATGAGCTTGAGCGAATGGTTATTCTTGCAGATTGTCAGAGACACACAGCCAACAACAAAGTCCGAAAGGCTTATTTCATGCAGCAGTAACTTTCAAGGGTGACTTTATTGTGTTGAAAATCACTAAATGTTTAATCTCTGCTACGCAGAGAAGTAACAATGCTGCTCAGGTTATGGTCATTAAGCGACCTCGTAACTTGCCGATACCTCCAAGGAAGGCAGCTTAACCAATCGGAGCCAACTCACACTGCATATGCCAATTCGTGTGTTACTACGGAACCAGTTAATAGACAGAACCGATAGGTCTTTGAGTTCCCGAATAGAAGAGCACCTACCAAGGTGGGTCCAACGTGAATTTGACCAGCATTCATACCTCTCTGAATTTCCGTGCTCGTGCACGTCACCAGTTCCATCAAAAGGTAAACACCTACTGGTCACACCTCACCGGATACAGTTTGGGTCAGCGTTCGCAAGTGTATTTCGTCACTCTAATCCTAGCTTCCTCCGATTTTCCGAAGCTGTCGCAATAAGTTAGATGAAGCCGGCTCTGTGTTTTCAAAGTGGATAATTTGTCAGCTTAAGACTGCCACGGACACAGTATTGAAACTGTCGTCATGCGTTTTTGGCCTCATGCTTATTTAATCACACCAATATCCAAGTATTCTCAAGGTTACTCATGAATTTTTAAACACCTATATGCGATGATGCATGAAATCCGCGCTTCATCACATATGATCGCACAGTCGATTTTGTCAACCAAGCGCACCTTCTGCTGACATTTTCTAGTATCATGCTCTCACTTCTAGGTAGAATTGCCGAACTCCTTACTCCTGTCTAGCGAAGACAGTATGCAAATACATAAATCATTCTGTTACCCTAAAGTCGGTTGCATACTGATTTGGAAGACGGAGCTAATCTGCTCTATGGCTGTTTTCCCATTCGGTCTGACCACCCTGACAAGCCCCAATTTCGTGGCGGATACGTTGTCACTTGCATTAGCGGACGTTACTACATTTCGGTTACCCTGTTGTTCACATACTCAATTATGTTTATAAGCTGCCATTTGATTGAATGCAATTCGAAGTTCATAGCTGGGTTGCAATCGTACATCGCCGTCGAGGTCTAAATACGGCTGAAAACATATACGTCATGGATGCATAACTACGGATTATTCACCTAACTTGACTTGAAAGCTCAAACACATCCGAGTCGTAGTCAAATCTTTTTAAATACTAGGCTTTTCGAATACAACTGCTGAAACTAGAATGTTGTCTGGATTGTTGCTTATGGCTTCAAGGATACAAGCGGAAATATAAATGGATACAATATTCCTGATGACTTTACTTGGTAAATTTATTGAGTTATTTGAGCAGTCAAAACATCCAGCTGGACATCATTTACACATACAAAGTGTACTTGTTTTCATACAAAAGCAGACTCCATTGAGTCGCTTTTGGACCACTGTATTATAAAAATATGTCCCACAACATACAGTAGAGCCCATTTTGTCGCGCTGACTAAGCGACCTCCTATCGGGCGGCGAAACTTCTCCATTGAAATATCAATTTAGTCAAATCAATGCTTTCCTCAACTGGTTTCTCACTCTTTAGCGATCTGGACCTGTCGGTTCAACGCAATCAGCTTACAGACGGTGGTAATTTTTACTTGGACCTCTAGTGTCCTTTTGATACGATCTAGTTACTAGTAGATAGTTTTTCATCCCCGTTATTGAAGCGACTTCGAAAGAGGAGAGAACTGGTTTAAAAATACAATAGGGTTACTCGTATCAAAAGTATAACCCCAACAAGACTAAACATGTTATACACTGATCGGTTTTAGGCAGCCATATCTGCCCTGATCTTTGGAGGTTCTTGAAGCAATTCTGTACTAACGACATCTGCAGCTACAGTGGCGTGGTGGATGTGTACAAACTAAGTGCCGAGTATAGCTCCGCGTCCTTATACTTATACCTCGCTTTTCTTCATCAACCCAAGTTCAACGGCGCCATTCGATCAATGCGATGTTCACAAGAAACTAATATGGTTAAAATGAGACCAAGCTGTTGCTTTCGTTGGCCACTCAGCGATAGTTTTAAAGGATTGGTGATTCCCCCACACTGCATCAACAAAATCTTCAACAAATGTCTTACTGTTGGTGTGATCTCAGAGATTTAGAGATCGACCACAATAACTCCGGCTCCCAAAACGAATTTCGTAGGTACCACCCGATTACGTATACATCTGTGCCGTTGAAAGTTTTCGATGAAATGCTTTTACCGCAATTTTTCGTAGCCATCCCTACTGACAGTGTCAGTATTCATATAGATGTTCGCTCTGCATTTAATGCGATAGCAGGTTGTTCATTTTATAACGCTACTGAACAGCAGATGTAAATCTGTACGGAATTTTTTGTGATTATTCAAATTTCGCTCAATCTGTTTTCTGAGAACAGGACTGAGGTACGTGGTCTGTTATGTGACTTTCTTACGCATCGTACTGACTTCGCCTAGTTTTATAGTAAAAAAACCCTCTGTTCTCCGTGCCGTTTATGGTGTTTTGCAAGGATCGATCCCACATCTTCTTTAAATAAATTATAAATAACTAAAATTTTATTCTTGAATGTTTCGAGGCACGCCATATCAGGCATGATCAAAATTGTACAAGCAACGACGTTTCGCGAACTCCAGGATAGATTACATGCAAAAACATAAAAATGTAAGGTGTATTGGTGAGAATGAACATAGTACTGTGTCGATAATGAGGGATCGGATATGTTTGACGAGGGTATGTAAAATGTGTGAGCGTACGCATCAGAATTAATGATATGTGAAGTAGGGAGACTTGCCAGTGTGATGCAAAGGGCAGTGACTTTATTTGGTAACCAGTCACATCCTCTACATCGCAGTGTTAAGCAGACATTTGTGAGTTTTTACAAAGAGAACGCATGCCAGACGAAAACGCATCACTGCTCCCTATACCACCCATGTTTGTTTGACGCAAGAATGGTTGCCATGTTGTGCTGCAATGTATGGCCCTCACCATTCAGCTCTCCTCATGACTTCAACGTGGATTAGATCTGGTGGAGTGGTCTTCATCTAAACCCCTTTCTCTTAACATTTCCAAACGCAGTGATCTACTGTTTATTTCGTGGCGATAAGTTGCGGTATCTTGTCAATATTTTGTTACTAAACTTTAGGCTGAAATCTCATACCTAGGTAATATACCGTCAAGTATCATAATCCTTTTGTCTCAAAACCTGTTTTGGTCCACGCGTGCTCGTAAAACATTTCACAATATTATGGTACTTTAGTACCCCGCATTTTATTATTTAAGTTTTCGACTTCACATTATCCCGCATTTGACTATGCTGCTGTCCTGTCATCTTCCCTGTACTGCTTCAAACAGACCTCACTTAATTGATACCATACATAAAACACATTTCTAAATGTAGCGGTTTATCTAGAGATTCTCTGATTGGTTAAGCACTTCTCGATATCCATATAACTTCAATTAATAATCTTTCAAGATTCCAAATGACTAGTTTCATCTACTGCACGGTGAATTTTAAGAACGCAGTCTTTTTCCTCTACGCGCTTAACATTTGAGGTTTTACTTTCTCGTATTTCATCGTATCGTAATATTTTATTACCTGCCACGAAAGTTCTAATCGCGCCACTCGCCGCGCACACCACTATATGTTCGTATTTTTCTTACTAATGGATTTTATCATTGCTATTATCTTGTACGCATGTATCGGTGATATAACTGAGAAAATGAATGCGTTTGAGTACATTAAGCTTATTTTAACTTGACGATGCAGACGATCTACAAATACTTGGCTGCTCTTGGGATCTTGAGAAATTCATTCACGTCCACAGTAGGTCTTCTAGAATAAAAATACCAATGTTAACAGTAGAGAAAAAGGATGTTTATTCACTTTTGCCGTCCAAGGGTGATCAAATGGTAAATGGTATCGGACATAAGCTCTGGTCTATCCTAAGGCGAGCCTATGCGACCGCCCAGTTGTATGCCATATGAAGCCTTTCTCATCATAATCGTCAGAGCAGCGCTCATCAGGCAGTTCG